AACTACGGGTCGGCTCTCAATGTCCCGTTCGGACAGATGCAGTGGCGAATGCCGTTTGCAATCCAGATAGTCCCCGGAGTTCTATTCATCCTCTTTTTGTTCCCCCAACCGGAATCCCCACGATGGTTGGCCGAGCAGAAGCGCTACGGTGAAGCGGCGAAGAGCCTCGCATATGTTGCACGGAAGTCCATCGATGATGAAGCCGTTTTGTCAATACTCGATGAGATCAAAGCAGACCTCGCCGGAAAGCAGAAGACGTCGATACTGAAACAGTTCCGCATGATGGGCGAATCAAGGATTACGGCCCTGCGAGCTTTCATCCCGTCACTCGTCATGCTGTTCCAGCAGTGGACAGGCACCAATGCTATCAATTACTTCAGCCCACAAATATTTGCTGGGCTGGGCATAACCGGGACTGATTCCGGACTTTTCGCCACTGGCGTATACGGCATCGTAAAAGTGGTTGCTGTTACCACCACTGTCATATTTGCGGTAGAAGGGGTTGGCAGGAAGAAGTGTCTTTTCATCGGCGGCTTGGGTCAGGGCTTCATGATGCTTTGGATTGGAGGATACAGCGCAGTTCACCCTCAATCGACTATCGTCCCCGCCAGCTACGTCTCGATCGTCGCCGTCTATATCTATGCGGTCTTCTACTGCATCGGGTGGGGACCAGTCCCATGGGTTGTTGCAGGAGAAGTTGCCCCAAACCACGTGCGAACGGCGGCCATGTCACTGGCCATCAGTGTGAACTGGCTATTCTCGTTCACGATCTCGCGCATCACGCCTGTTATGCTGGAGAATATCACATATGGGACATTCCTGCTGTTCGGCTTTTGTTGCATGGTCATGTCCGCGTGGGCTTACTTCCTGCTACCGGAGACGAAGGGATATGCGCTGGAGGATATGAAGTTCTTGTTCGAGAGAGACCTTGTGGTGAGGTCGTTAGAAGATGCGCCTGGTGGTCGTATCTTCTTGGGTGGACGCAGGGCAACGCCTGTGGAAGATCTCAGGAAGGCCGCACACGATGGGGTGGGACCCGGAGCTACTTCTCGAAGATTTGAGGCGTGCGCATAGGGCCTTTCGTCGGGGAGGCTGTGGTGGCATGATTCAGACTAGTAATATTCTTAGTCTCTGCTCGTGAGAACTTGAATACAGCAATCCTTCGACAAATCACTAGACCCTGCGTACTCTCGTTCAGCTCGGTGGAAACGTTTCAGAAGTACTTATAAACTAGCCAGTCAGGCGTCTCGTTGCGATGTCCTATCTGCGTAGCTGGTTTCCACTCGACACCGCAACCCCTCGTTCAAGGTCAAATGTCGCTTCCACCATGCCAGGGTCATTCATAGAAGAGGAGGATGACGGGTCAGATACAGCAGGGGAGGACGATGTTCCTCCCGCGTTCCCTGCACCGAACAGCGCCCAACGCGCCGCTCGCCCAATGTCGAAGTCTTCGGAAGCCAATGGGTCAAAGATTCCAACAATACTGAATGATACATCCTTAATGCTACCTCCACCTATCCCTAACTTGGCCAGCCGACAGCCTGGCGTTCCACGGACGACAACACAATTTGCTTCATCTTCATTACTTTCGCCGATGGGTACGACGGAAAAGCCGAAGAAACCCTCGAGAAAGGTGGCACTGGCGCCTGGATTTGGTCCCCTGGATTGGGCGAGCCTGAAATCGTCTGGAGAAGACTTAAGAGTACGTTTCTGTCGCTTAGACGTGTCGTACGTATTCTGAAGGTAATTAGGGCGTAGAGACGCTACTGCGCATCCCCCCGTCTGTACTTAAGACGCATAATAGAAGAGAAGACGCTTGGACTGCCATCAACGGCAAGGTGTACAATATGACACCATATCTACCCTATCATCCAGGTGGTGAGAAAGAACTCATGAGAGTAGCGGGGCGAGATGGAACAAAGTTATTCTGTAAGATCCGATGCCTCTTCCCCCTGGTACCTTGGTCTAATGGCGCTTTAACTCGGCTTAAGCACTTACGCACGCGTGGGTTAATGTGGACTTTATGCTCGATGCATGCCTCGTTGGGTTCCTCGTCTCCGAATCATCCGCATAGAACGCAACTTTACTGGACATCCATACTGAGACACTCACGATATGGACATGCTGTAGACTAGACCGTGGTCCCTTTTTCGTTCATGCTCAACCGCCTTCCAAGTCTGAAGTCGGATGCAGTCACGGCCAGGCCAGATGGGTTGTAGATGAGTGGACCAGGATATCGCTATTGGCAGCTGAACAACCTCAAGGCAACACCACAGTCACATGTTGGATGAGGCTTATGAACCTGCTGGGCAAATGTCGCCCAGCTCCAGAACATCGATCGGCAGATCTTCGGCTCTCTGAGCTATTTCGTCCGCGATAGTAGGTAATTGAAGTTGGTGAGTCGTCCATTGTGTATGGTATGACGAGTCTCAACTTTATGCACAAAAAGAGTATCAAGTGGACTTGTACGCCAGTGTGTGGTCGGCATTGGTGGTAGTGCTGGAATATTTTAGAGACGGATCCATCAAGCTGATGGCACATCTCCACCAGATGTGGACAAGAGAGGACGCTATATGATGCTAATATCAGCAAGTGCGACACGATACTGCGCCATTTCTGCACAGTTTGGCGCAATCAGCTTTTGACTGAGAAAGGCAAGTGAGTAAGAATGATTCGACTCGCATGTCCAACCCATAGAAGTTTTGGTTGCGCAATCTCACTTCCGATTGTCGTAAGTCTTTTATAGGGGGCAGGAGGACTGAGTGTTCTCAGCGCATAAAATGCGACGGTTATCTATCTAACAACAACTCGAAAACCCCTCTATCTTTACGGAATCTCATACGACATGGCTGCTGTCGCAACAAACGGGAACGGGAACGTTGACCGCATTGCGGAACTTAGGAAGCAAGCCAACGAGGAGCTGAAGCTCTTCAATCCCTTCTATTCTCCCACTGCCGACTCTGCTTCGGATGATACCTACAAACATGCTGCGTACACGGTTAGTGGTATCAGTGTCAAGTCAGACTTGGTAGAGATAACGTTTGACTGCAGCCACACTTACCCGTCCTCAACTGGGAACCCCTCACCGAGATTGACATCACCGACACCGACCGCGGTTTATTTGCTGACCCAGGGAAGAAATCACTGTTCAGTGCCGCTCAGAAAGTCAAGAACCTCACACCGGCCATCGGAACTGAAATAACAGGGATCGATCTGAGACAGCTTACTCCTGGCCAGAAGGATGAGCTGTCCGTGTTCCTCCTTGACTATACAAATGCCAAACTGATGTAGTCTCGACAGTGCTCTCCTGGTGGCAGAAAGGGGAGTTGTATGTCAGTATCATTTGTTTCTGCCTTCTGTCTGTACTGACCTTTGACAGTCTTCAGAGACCAAGAGCTGAACATCCACGAACAACTTGACATCGCGAGACACTTTGGCCCCCTTCATAAACACGCGACGACACCAATCCCAAAAGAACCCGGACTCGAAGAAGTTCACGGTCAGTTTGAAAGTCAATGCGACGACTTCACGCTCACAACTTGGACAGTCGTGTACAACGATGCGGCACGCCGCCCAGACTCGTCAGCCTTCTCAAAGCTGGAGCTCTGGCACAGCGATGTGACATACGAGATTCAACCTCCAAGCACCACGTCTTTGAAAGTCATCACTTGCCCAGAGAACGGTGGTGACACCCTGTGGAGTTCGGGGTCAGCGAACAATTCTGATGAGCTACACGATGGGAAACTGACGATCACGCTAATCTGCCCAGCTATGCCCTCTACTCGTCCCTCAGCCCAGGATTTCAAACTTACTTGGAAGGTCTTACCGCTCTCCACAGCGGTGTTGCACAAGCTGAAGGCTCCCGTGCTGCCGGCCTCCACGTGCGCCGGGAGCCCATAGAGTCCGTCCACCCTGTCGTCCGTGTCCATCCTGTGACCGGTTGGAAGAGCGTCTATGTAAACCCAGGCTTTACCCGCCGTATCATCGGTGTCCCCAAGGCTGAATCAGACGTCATCTTGAACTTCCTGTTCCACCAGATTAGCGACAACGTAGACTTTCACGTGCGCTTCAGCTGGGAGACCAACTCGATCGCGTTCTGGGACAACAGGGTACGTGTGGGGCGATGCAGTTTTGATGGTCGGAACGGACTGACGGAATGCAGATCGTGACTCACACTGCCACGTTTGACTTCTGGCCTCAAAGGCGGCATGCGTTGAGGGCAACTCCTCACGGAGAGAAACCCGAGTCCGTGGAGGACTACGAGCGAAGGACTGGCAAGGCTGCGAAAGATCGCCAGATTGAAATATGGAAACAGCACGGCGTCGAGGTCCCTCAAACCAAGGGTTCACCAAGGGTTCTTGGATACAACGATTAAACTAACAAGAACTTGAATTATCCTGTACCAGTACGCGTAGAAAGAGATGTCGTTCTTGACTTGATGCAATAACGGAAGGAGTGGACAGAGGGTGAGATGTAGCAAACGCGACGTTGGTGTAACACACCTGACCAGGCCAATTCGACCTGAATGAGAGCCCAAGCCTCCAAGAGCCTGCTCAAAGTCCAGGCCGCAAGCTTGAAAGCTTGAAGAAAAGATCACCATCACGGAAAATTGCCTTGGGTTCGTGTTCGGTTCTCCAACCAGATTGCAAAACGGGTACACGGTAATTTTGGCGTCTAGTAGAACTACGAGTCTTGTTGTGTCCACCGTACTTACCTCGAGCGCTTCGGCGAACGGTCGCCGTACACGCGACGACAGGCTAGATACGAAAAATACCCCGGCTGCACGAATTGAAGGGTGTGATGAATTAAATGATGGGATTTCATATCGAGGACTGAACTGCCTATGACATTACACTCTGAGCTTTGCTAAGTGACTCACTTGTCCGCGGGGAAGTGGAATTCTTCCGCCTATCGTCTTGCATGCCGTCTGCCCGACGCGAGGCATTCGTTCGAGGAATGGCAATGTATTTTATGAGCCAAGTATCGGACATGTTATCATTGGGCTCGTGGCACAGTGGTAGTGCATGTGATTCCAGACAAAGTCTTGTCTCCACAAGGTCATCCGTTCAATCCGGGTCGAGCTCATCTAATTTATTTTTTCCCCCGCAAAATAGCTCTACCCTTTATTTTTTTTCGGGTCGGCTCCAAGTGATGCATAATTACGAACTGTAGTTTATAAACCCAAACCTGCAAATGCAGCAGGCGAATGCATGGAATAGCTAGTCGTCAATATCGTAGATACGTGCTAGAATTAAGTGTCCATATTATGCACTGTCCGTCTACTTGCGCGAGAAGAACGAAAATCTCTTCTTCGATACTGAATTGCTCGACACTGGGCTGCTCGATGCTAGGCTTCTCTCCTCAAGACTCCCCACACGAGTGGACGACGAAGCAGGGCTATAGTCCCCGAAGCCGTCTCTGCGTTTGCGCATGTAGAACAGCAGCGAGTGGCGAGGACGGGGGCCATGAGAGTTCTTGGATGGTCTAGGAGTCGAAGGGGTGCTGGCACGCGAAGGGGACGACGAGCCGGGTGTCATTGGCTGCAGTGAGGCGCGATGCATGCGGGGAGTAGAGGGCGAGGACAGTGAGTCGAGTGAAATGTGCGACCACGACGGTTCAACTGTGAACGGCGGAAGGGCAAATGACGTATATGGGCCTGTGTCGGACTCCTCGGACGGCCGAGGAACGCCCGCCGATTCTAACGGAGGAGCAACGTCTATGGGTTTCATCTCCCTCGGCTTGCTGAACATGTCCCGATCTGGGAGAGAGATTTGATCATGTATAAGATCGAAGCCCCCGAGCAGATTAATTGCATAATCCGGTACATGGACGCCGTCCTGGTCCAAATCCGCGACAATTTCAGCGCGAGTGCGAGGCGAAATGTGACTGATGATAGTCGCTGTGCCCTGGCTCTCCTCGACCATATGCATGCCCTGTGAGGATGACGAGCCTTCCGACGCAACCGAGAGTGGCGGTGTGGAAGGTCGGGTAGATGCAATATCATCAGAGTTGTCAGCCACCGAATTGAGCGCTAAGCGATATGAGCTATGTGATGAACGGTCGGAAACCGACTGCGCCTTCGCGCTGCTCCCTGCGCCCTTTGTGAGTGATGATGCATCGAGAAGAGAGTTACAGGGACGAGGTCTGCGAGGACGCTTCACGGGATTAAATGGCTCACCGGCCATGGATGCGGGACGCGCATGCTTCGTAGTAAGACGTCGCAGAGGTGGGGTGACAGACGAGGGCCGGAGGCGGAGGGGAGTGACGTCGCTCATTGTCACTCGGCGTGAAGAGGACTGGTCAAGAGCAAGCTTGCACTTAAGGTTGAGGTGAAAAGATGTCTTCGTGGGGGAGCAGTCCCAAAAACGGGCCAAGTTAGCACCCCGTCGTGCCTCGTTGTTGAGGGCAGGAGGAAAGCCACGATTCTCCACTTCTTCTTGGCCGTTCTCCCGATCCGCCTTCAATCCTGCAATACGCTGAGTCAGCATGCCGACATCGCGATCTGCTGCTAAATGCCGCTTTTCCTCCATCCATCGCTCTTGCTGCAGTGCGACGTATCTATCCGGGGCGGTATCTCTCGCCGCGAGGGACAATTTGAGCTTTGCTGCACGTTCCCGGGACTCTTGGGCACGTGCACTCAGGGCTACGCTAGCCTGTTGGAGGGCGCGGATCTGGAGTTCCTCAGGAGAGCGCTGCTGTTCACTGCGATTCAATGCGCCGGTAAGAGCTTGTTCGGCGATGGAGTAGCGACGGTTGGCACAAGTTGTCTCCCTGGGCGATCCACACATAGAGAGAGAGCGCTTTGGACGATTTGTTGTAGGATTAGGTCTGCCCAATGTGAGGCAAGTATTAGGTGGACTGTGCATGGCATGCTCAGGGTGGATCGCATGGCTTTATAGAGTGTGGAACATACTAGATTGATTTGGCTGGTGAGATGGGATTTACGGCCATGTTGGTGCGCTCCTGCACAAGGGTTAGATAGACCTGGACAGAGATTACAAAGACGTACATGTAAAGCTGCATCTCGACTGCTGGTGTCGATTCGGGGAGATGGGGGCTGGAGCCAGCGACTACTGGGGAGCTTGGGCACACCGACAAGTTCGTCTACAGGTTGGTCGGGAGTGTTCCGACCAATCATACGTAGAGATACGGAGCAATAACCCAGAAAGAAAGAAGGAACGGAGTTGGGCTAAAGAGCGGTCAAGTTGTTTGGAGGAGTAGGCTGTGCAGTCGCCGCTTGGTGGCCAAAAGCGAGGTGTCGCCGTCGAATATTGATTCGAGATTCACATCGAGGCTCACATGCACTCACACGGGCGCGAGTCTTGACAGCAAGTACTCTCAGTCAACTAATATTCGCCAGCTAGCTCACAATATTCCAACCATAATTTAATTTCCCCAGCAAATTCTTCGTGTTCACGGTTGAACTCGGTCAGGTGACTTTTTGAATCACTCACGTGACGTCTTCCACAGCGACGCTCAACCAAGGAGTCGCACTCTTCCATCCATCCAGAGGTATATAGTACATGTACATCAAGATCTCCGAAGCACGAGATCTTTGAGACCTTTGCTGAGCTTCCTCACCTTTCCCTTCACATCCATTTTTGTCCCAGACCGATCCATCTCTCGGAAGTGATAGTCCCCTGGCTCATCAGGGGCATCCTCCCGTCGCCATCGGGCCAGATTCATCCGCATCTCCGTCTCCCCACTCAACGAGAACCCAGAGCACGTGGTCGCAGACATAGCCTGACCAGGTAAAACCATGGACATCGGTCGTAATTCTGGTGCAGCGTGGATACTCCGACGACCACCGTCAAGGGATCTGGTTTCTCGTGGCGCATAGTCAAGATGCGATGCCATCGGCGAGGGTGTGCGAGGAGTGGAAATGGAAAAGGCGGGGCTGGTGGGGCGTGGCATGTTTCTGCGGATCGCAGAATAGTATGGTCGACTTGGGTGGCCCAAGCGAACAGGAGGATCATTATCTTGGGAAGGAGCAATTGACAATACGTGTCGTACTTCCATCGTGGACGTCGCAGGAACATCAACACTCTCCCGCAAAGGAGACGAGGGTCGCGAACGAGAGTGAGGTGACTGAGAGGATTTCCGTTTGTGCAACGCCATGTGTTTAGTTCTGCGCAGCCCGCGCATAGGGGAGCATTGTGACGAAGAGATGGAGTGCGTGGAGCTCATTTGTGAGCCACTCGACACATACATGCAGTCAGTGGCGCGTGGCAAGTTGGATGCTTCTAACAATACAGAAGTCATGGAGTTCATCACGTGTGTTGTTAATGAAGCTGTACATTCGACCTTATGACTTGAGCAATACGAAGCGCGGATATGGGCAGGTGGCGTCGAGACAGAAAGAGCCGCAGGTCTCTTGCGGTGGGGCATCGGTTTCCTCGTCAGATCCTGATCTTCAGAAACGCGCTTGTATTGCTCTGTCTGGAGTTCAGAAGTAGTGTTTGACAACGAGGAAGTCGAGAATTGTGGCTGAACAACACGAAGTAATCAGTCAAGCGCTCCTCTTCGACGTCGACATGAACAAGGAGCGGACAATAAGTACCATTATCGAGGTTGCCGTGGCGACTTCCTGGACGACACCCACATCGTCCACTTCCATTCGGACGTCAGCGGAAGCGACCGCGTCATGGTTCGCAATTCCTTCGCTTGTATGGCCTGGCTCGCCATGATTGTCGACAAGAGGGGGTTCTAGAACTGTCGTAATGCCGGGTACACTCCTGACAGAATGCCGTGAGGAAAACGATAGCTCGCCCTGAGGGGTCACAGGCCCAGTGCTCGAGGTAATGGAGTCAGCGGACATTCTCTTCGGTAGTTCACGCTTGACTCTTCTTGGTGCGAGTACTACCTTGCAAGGGGCGCTCAGTCGGCGTGGCCTAGGCATGTTCGATTCGAATTGCTTTGTTGCCTCCGCGGATGACCATTCGCACCACAGACAAAGGGGGATCCACGCGTTTGCGAAGCCACATCGGGCACAGACGAACAACGGTCGTTTAGGACAGAGACGGAGCGTAGGGAGCGAATCGGATGGAGGCAGGTGCTGAACAAAGCAACTCGTTGGGACTGATCCGATAGATCACGTCAGGTCTAGATGGCTACTCACCGGCTTGTTTCTCTTCCACTGTCTTTGTAGGTATCGTCGCGAAGTGATTGGCATCCCTTGACAATCCGCCCAGTTATCCATAGGGCAGGTTTCTTTGGGAACAAAACGAGAGAAAAGGAAGGAGGACGCGAGGGCTGCACTTCAACTGAAATAACTGGGTCGCGTACACGAGGAAGGCCAAATTTGCGGGTCCAGCGGAAACCAGTCCGAAACGCAAACACGACGTGTAGGTGACAATCAGGAAATCAGGGAAGCGAGCACAGACATATCAATCACAAGACACAAACGGTGGACGTCCGATGGGCCCCTTGGAACATGCTTATTACGCGTGCTCGACGGGGGAAGAACATCCATGGTAGTTGTGAGAGGCACAAAAGCTAATTGCGCGGCTACAGCAATCATCACAATGGGCACGTTGTACCTCGAGGCGAAAACTCTCCTCGTGGACGTCACATGTTCATACCAGGAGTTAAGCTGGGTCCCAGCGAACTCTGCAGGGACATCTGGCCTCCATAGTGCACACGCCATGGATTTGGCGTCCAGCAGGCAGTGAAAGGAACAAGTCGTGTCCACGGATATCGGCCCACTGCGTTCCAACCAGACCAAGGACGTTCGCTTCTGAAACAAGATCTGAAGCGACCCCTACCGCGTTCCAGAAGCTGCACATCAACTTGAGCGCCTTGTGAAAGGTGCTTTTCATTAGCTTGTGCCAAGGTCAGTTGTCCGATTGGAGTGCGATGATCTATGAAGTAGGAATAACAATACACTGCGATCTTACAGCTCAATAAAGTGATATCCGCGTCAGAGTGTACAGGTAGTGCCCATCTGTGCTGTGTAAGAGGAGGTCCCACACACCACACGTAAATGGCCGCCAGTAGGAGGAAAGGTCATGCGAAAACAGCGATGGCACCTCTCTTTTCATCCATCGTCCATCGTCCGTCGATCAACAAACTGAGATGGACTAGTC